CACCATCCCTGACATCAAGCTCTAGTATAGAACTACAGCAATGAAAACAACTTGGTAGTGGCATAAAAACAGACAGGACAGCCAATGGAACTGAACTGAAGACTCTCATTTCATACACTATGAACATCTGATTTTTGACAAAAGAACTAAAATTATATAATGGAAAAAAGAAATGATGCTGATATAACTGGATGTCAACATGTAGAAAAATGCAAATAGATCCATATCTATCCCCCATGCACAAAACTCAAATCCAAATGGATCAAAGACCTCAATATAAATCCAGCCACATTGAACTACATAGAAGAGAAAGTGGGAAGTAGCCTTCAATGCATGGGCACAGTAGACCACTTCCAAAATATAACACCGAGACACTGAGAGCAACAATAAATAAATGGGACCTTCTGAAACTAAGAAGCTTCTGTAAGGCAAAGGACACGGTCAATAAGACAAAAAGGCAGCATACTGACTGGGAAAAGATCTTCACCAATCCCATATCAGACAGAGGACAGATCTACAAAATATACAAAGAACTCAAGAAACAAGATGTTAAAATATCAAATAAACCAATTTAAAAATATAATTCAGATCTAAACAGAGAATTCTCCACAGAAGAATCTCAAATGGCTGAAAGACACTTAACTGTTCAACATTCTTAGTCATCAGGAAAATACAAATCAAAACACTCTGAAATATCATCTTACACCTGTCAGAATGGCTAAGATCAAAAACACTGATGACAGTTTATGCTAGAGAGGATGCAGAGTAGGGGGAACACTCATCTATCACTGGTGGGAGTGTCAACTTGTACAGACACTTTGAAAATCAGTATGGCAGTTTCTCAGCAAATTGGGAATCATTCTACATCAAGTCCAGCAGTACCACTCTCGGGCATACAACCAATCATACTACATGCTCAACTATGTTCATAGCAACATTATTCATAATAGCCAGAACCTGGAAACAACCTAGATTCCCCTCAACCAAAGAATGGATAAAGAAAATGTGGTACATTTACACAATAGAGTACTACTCAGTAGTGAAAAAAACAATAAAATCTTGAAATTTGCATGCAAATAGATAGAACTAAAATAAAATAAAATCCTGAGTGAGGTAACCCAGACCCAGAAAGACAAGCACGTTATGTACTCACTCTTAAGTTAATATCAGATGTAAAGCAAAGGATAACTGACCTATAGTCCATGATCCCAGAGAAGCTAGGTAACAAGAACCCTAAGAGAAACAGACATGGAGTCTCCTGGAAAAGGGAAATAGACAACAAGAACTCCTGAGAAAATTGGGAGCTTTCGGGGGAGTGGTGTGGAAGAAGAGCACAGAGGAGAACAGGAGGGAACAGATGGTCAATATGGGAGAAGAACAAAGAGGGGGAGCAAGAAAAGAGATACATTGATTGAGCGAGCCATTAAGGAGCTAGCGTGAAACTGGGACTAGGGAAATTCCCAGAAGTTGACAAGGATGACCCCAGCTAAGCAATAGTGGAGAGGGAGCCTGAACTGCCCTTCCCCTGTAATCAGACTGATGACTACTGTAATTGTCATCATAGAACCTTCATCCAGCAACTGATGGAAGCAGATGCAGAGATCCACAGTGAAGCACCGCACCAGTCTGAGCTCCCAAAGTCCAGTCAAAGAGAGAGAGAAGTGATAATATGAGCAACTGGCCAAGACCATGATGCAGAGACTCACTGAACTAGCTGACGTGAGCTAACAGGAGCAGACTAACAGTCCCCGGACTGACAGCAGAGGAACAAGCACAGGACCAAACCAGACCCTCTGAATGTGGGAGACACAGGACCAAACCAGACCCTCTGAATGTGGGAGACACAGGACCAAACCAGACCCTCTGAATGTGGGAGACATTTTAATGACTGGGCAAACTGTGGGGACACTGGCAGTCATACAAAGATTTATCTCTACTGCTTGAATTGGCTTTTTGGAACCCATTCTCTTTGGAGGGATACTTTGCTCAGCCTAGACATAGTGGGGAAGGCCTTGATCCTGCCTCAAAACAATGTGCTAGACTTCGTTGACTCTCCATGGGAAGCCTTCCTCTCTCTGAGAAGTGGATGGAGGTGAGGTGGGAGGGAAGGTAGAGGGACAGAGAGGAGAGGAGGGAATGGAATCTGGGATTGGTATGTAAAATGAGAAAAGATTATTTTTTAAAAAATTAACCAATTTAAAAAAGGAAAAACAAAAAGCCAACAGACATATTACAGGCAAAAGCATCAGTTGCTGAGACTTACCTGCTGGAGGAAAGCCACCAAAGTGCTGGTCCCCCACTTATCAAGCTTGGGCAGGTTGATATCTTTTAGGTACAAAACAAGTCTTTCACAATCTTTTGGTCTGTACACTCGGCCAGTGTTTGTACTGATTACCATGCAAGTCTGGCTCAGCTTCTGCAGAAGATGCCGGGAAGTAGTCTGAGCGCTGCAGTGGACCGTGGCAATCTCCGTGGAGCGGAGCTGAGAGAAGGCGTACCTGAGCAGCATCCTACGAGAGACAGGTGACATCTCAGGAGAGATGGGTAACACTGGGTGAAGTTCACTGGGAAAATGTGTACAATAAAACACTCCTTATACTCAATATGAAATTGATATCTTTTTCTGAATTATTTCAGATTATGTTGAGAAGGAAAATAATAAATATGATACGGTTTCCATCAACACTAAAATAACTTTCTAATTTTTCTTTTTTTTTTAATTGAAAAAATTTCCACCTCCTCCCCACCTCCCATTTCCCTCCATCTCCCCCCATTCCTCTCCCCCTCCCACCACTTAGCTCCCCCTCCCTCTCCAGTCCAAAGAGCAGTCAGGGTTCCCTGCCCTGTGGGAAGTCCAAGGTCCTCCCCCCTCCATCCAGGTCTAGGAAGGATAGAGACAAAGACCCACATTGGAGCACTGGAATGATCTCCCAAGGCCCAAATGAGGAGCAGAAGGAGGGAGAACATGAGCAAGGAAGTCAGGACTGCAATTGATGCACCCACCCACTGAGACAGTGGGGCTGATCTATTGGGAGCTCATCAAGGCCAGCTTGACTGGGACTGAAAAAGCATGGGATAAAACCGGACTCTCTGAACATGGCAGACAATGAGGGCTGATGAGAAGCCAAGGACAATGGCACTGGGTTTTGATCCTACTGCATGCACTGGCTTTGTGGGAGCCTAGCCTGTTTGGATGCTAACTTTCTAATTTTTAAAGTAGGGGTGTATTTTATAAAATATTCCTAGAATTCTTGAAGATCTCATAAGTTCAGTTTTACAAGGTATGTAGAATATATTAGTTTTGTTCCCCCATAGTTCACGGAAGTACTTTAAGTTCCCCAAGAGTTTTGTTTCATTAACTACCCTGATTGTATATATGTAAAACTAATAATTCAGGTTTACTCCTAACCTAAAACATAAGTGAAGCAGGCACTAAACAGAAGTGAACTGCATTGAGCTAGACACTATTTTTAATAAGAGCGCAGACTCACCTGGTAAATTCATGGCTTACGCACACAGTAAGGTGTAAGTATGTATACAGGATTTAATTTTTGTGACTCTATGTACAAAATCTTTTTAAAAGTTTCTTTTTTCTTTTTTCTTTTTTTGTTCTTTTGTTTTGTTTTGTTTTGTTTTGTTTTGTTTTGTTTTTTGAGACAGTGTTTCTCTGTAGCTTTGGAGCCTGGCCTCGAACTCACAGAGATCCACCTGCCTCTACCTCACGAGTGCTGGACTTAAAGGCTTGCGCCACCACCCCCCAGCTAGACAGTATTTTCTAAGCCCACACAAACTGGCAGAGAAAATGACACTTCTCTGCAGTGATTTTTTTTTAAATAGGAGGTAACAGTAAGTGCCCTCTATAAAAATGTCAGTGCTTTGTAACCAAAAGAAACATAGTGTGCTTTTTTTAAATCCTTGAGGAGAAGGAGGCAAATTCACAGTATATATTTTTGAAGACATTTTTCTTACCCTTTGCCACATCCCTCTGGTCCTACGAGAATAAACGGCTGTTTAGTATCAGAACTCAGCCAAGGCTTGAAATAATCTAGACCTCGCTGCATGTCAGGGGTCTGGATGACAGGGAGGGAATGGCCACTGCTGAAGTCATCAGCTGTCAGGCTCTCTGGCTTCTTAAGCACGTAGGATGCTAACTGTCCTCGATCCATGTCATAGTAGGTGTCCATTGGTCTGTGAGGGTCTGGAGGGGACTCCCTGGCCCAGTTAAAGACCTTAAGAGGGAAACATTGTAACAAGGAGTTTTTACATATTCCTAACAGTGGATAACTGTTCAATACATCAAATTGAGTATCTCCACAGTAAATCACCTCATTAAGTAAGTTTATATACATGCCACTTCTAAGGAAATTTTAAAATTAAAATAGTATTTTACCTCAATATGATATATATAAAGATATCAATTTGATAGAAATTTATAGACCAAGTTATAAAACATATCCAAGTTTTAATAGAATTCTTACAAATTGCAGACTTTAGGAATGCTAACGCCCTTTATTTCCAACATTTCCCAGAACTGACTTCAGCTATACCCACAGCATTCAATGGGTTATTCTGCTCCGTGATACTGAAAGCTGTTGTCTGTTCCTAAGAGTATTTCAGAGCAGTGGACAGGAGGGTGCTGGACAGTACGTGAGAGGGAAGGGGACACATACAACTACAGAAAAGCTAACGGGACAGAGAGAGCAGCTAATGACGGTACTAAGCAACAGTGAATGGAACACTGTGTTGGTCTTATTTAATCATTCCAGGGGGAAAAGTCCCTTGTGGGTCCCAAGAGATGGGTAAGAGCACTAGTTGCTCTTCCAGAAGACCTAACTTTAATTCTCAGCACTCACAATCAACATAACTCTATTTCCAGTTTCTGAGAATCCAACACCGTATTCTGGCCTCCTCCACAGGCCCAGGTATGCACATGGTGCACAGACATACAGTCAGAAAAACATCCACACACAAAAAAGAAAAGAAAACAAAAGACCCTTATGACATAAAGAAAAATGCCTTTCTAACCAACTGGCTCAATTATTATCTAACATTATTAGAGAATTAGAAATATTCCAGCACTTCTAAGTGCTAACACTAAATAAAAATTTGAAGATTATTTAAAGCTAAATGAAATATTGGAATATATTCATAATGTTAAGTAGATTCAAGCCTAACTTAAACTTTTATGTTCAAAGCCTTAGCCTATTACAAAATACCATAAAATTTTAAGACTATAAGAAACCCTCAGTTTGATACACAGAACCATGTTTACATATGTTACATGCATGTAGACCTATATAGATACATATGTCCTGTTAGTCTACCAAATGCATAAATTCATAACTAGAAAGTTTTCACACCTTTGAATTGTATCACTGTGTGTTGAGACTTAAGGGTCAAGAGGAGCTGAAGACTATGGTTGGAAAATGCTCCTTACCTCCTTGGTGAATTCCAAACGCGATTTCATGTTTAGATTTCCACTCAGGCCTCGTATGAGATTAATAATAAACTGGTCATGATCTCTGCATCCATGGAGGTGGGACAAACCATTCATCACAGTACCAACCAAACTTGTTTCTACCACATAGTCATTCTGTCGATTAAAATTCACAGAACCAAGGTAGGAAAAACAGATGTTAACCAGCAAACGCAAAACCATACAATTCGACACAGACCACTGCCAAACAACCTTTGAATTCATCTCTCTCATTTCTAAAAAAGTATGGATGTTATTCAGATTACATATATACTTTGAAAATACCAAAATAAATTTAAAGGTAATTATGTGCTTTGAACTATAAATGCTGAAATTCTCAAATAATTACATGACATATAGCCTCAGACTGAAGAATATACATATACATTTTTAAAACTTCAGAGAACAGCTAAGGTGTGGTTCACCTCTGAGATGCCCGCCAGTTTCATGTTTTGAGGCCTGTCTCTGAACTCTAACACTGCTGTATAGGTACAATCTTTAACAGGTGACATCCAGTTGGTGCGAGTTGGTCCTAGGTGACCCTTTATTCACATTTACAGCCACCCTGGTTCTGGCCTGTTTTCTCTGCTTCCTTTTGCCACCAACATGAGGCATGGTGATGCAAGGAGTCCCAGGTCCAGCAGGCAGTCTGTCTCTGGCATCTTTTCCCCAGACAGTTTATGTCATTAAAGTGAGAACTACAGAGCCTAGTAGTGCTGATGCCATGAGACCTGTTACCTTACTGAGTCGATGCCTGTGTGAATGCTTGAATTAGGGTGTGCTACTAGACAGAACAGACTTCAGGCATCTCAGCACCAGACGACTGCCTGCTCACTCTTCTTAACAAGCTTGCTTTGGGGACTCACAATGGGGCATGATAGGTTTGGTCCCTGCCCTTGAGGAACTTGCAGGTGAGTGCAGACAGAGACTAAAATGGCAGGTGAGTGTTAGGAAGAAAGCAAGGAAGGAGACACCCTCCTTGGACTGCAGGAGCAGGAAACCCTTCCTTTTCTAATGACTGGAGAAACTAATTAATCTGCAATATTTTAATACTCATTTCAATTTCTCCCACTTTCATCTGTAAAAAGCAGAAAAACAAATATAAAATGATTAAAAACAATAGCAAATTTTCAATTTTTGTGTATTTTGATCAATATGAAAAAACTAAAACGCTGGATCAAGCTCAGATTAATAGTCATGTGACTTTAAAGAAACTGCTGCTTTTTAATTTCTGTTTAATAAATATGTTTGTTTTCACAAAATTAATAACATGAAAGGAAAACCATATACTTTTTAAAATTCATGTATGTGTGGAAGCCCCCTGCAATCTTCTACTCACGCTTCATGGTAAAGCACTCCAACAGATCAGTATCCCGCCATGCTGCTGGATGGTGACGATGTGTTTAGGTGGCATTCATTGCCCAGGGACACCCTTCTCTAGGAAGGTATGATCTTACTAGCTTTCATCTCAATCCTCATGTATTAGACTTCACAAATTTAGATGTCCATTTTTATTGTATAAATTTCAAATATTACTGTAAGTAACTCACTGTCTCTTCTGTGTTTTAGTATTAGCTTAATAACGCCTTTAACATATTAAATATATTTAACATATCATACACGTGATACAATGTGATTCTCACAGTTTCAGAGCCATTAGTTATCCACATCAGGGAAGCAAAGCAGAGCAATTATGAATAGTAAAATGAGACAAGATGGTTTCCCACCAAGAAAAAGACAGTCTAGTACTCAAGCTTTTTAGGTAAGTTAGACAAGATTCTATAGACACAGAAATGAAGGCATCTTAAGACTAGCTAATATATGGAATGTAAGAGGACAGGAAAGGGACAGCAGTGATGGCATCCACTCTGCACTCCGGTCCCAGCAGAGCTCTACAGACGGCAGGACACACAAGCACAATTCCCAACTATCCATCCCATCTCACTGCTCATCTAATACCTTGGCCAGCTCACCTGCTTTAAAACCCACTGCAAAGCTTTTGAAAAATAATCTCCAATCCAGTTCTCAAGGTTACTTCTGTACTCAGCAGGCTGATTCCTCAACCAAGATTTTATCAGAGAATTTAGATCCGTCTCTTCATCACTACAAGGGTTAACACAAACATGCCAGTTATTCAGGAAGAAATTGCCAACTAACTTCAAACTAACTCCTGTCTATCAAGCACCCATCTGTCAGCACAGAAAGCCAGCACTGGTGACTTTTGTGTATGTGCATGTACGTGTGTGTATGCAGATCTGTGTGTGCTGGAGAATACTAGCAGTATTCTAGACCCTACTTAAAAGTTCTCATTGGCCTCTCCATGGATAAATGCTCAGCAACATCAAGAGACACAGCAACCTAAGAGTTAAAATATATTGCAATGAAATCACACATGTTCATTGTGCCTCATACAACCAATATCCAGGTCACCAACAGCTCACAACCCTCTGCAGCAGTCTGTGATCTCCTGCTAAATAGACACAGCACCCTCACAAGGTCTGTATCTTTTGATGCTCCATAAATGGCAGGCTCACTCTTGTACAGTCTTTCTACTATGTTTAAATCAATGTAAAATACACAATAAATATTCAATAAGAATTTTTAAATTTACCTGTAAACTTACCTTTTATTACAATATTGTTATAAGATTACAACACTGAATAAATGATAAATTTACACATATATTACAATGAAACTATATACCTAAAGTAATATTATTTTAATAATTTACTCTGATATCAGCTGAAGTTTATAATTAGTTAAATATAAATGTCTCTTAGAATACCTAGTGAAATAAGCAGTTAAATAATTTGAAGACAAAATCTCAACCCAAGTGATTACAGCAATGTGCCATTCACAACATATGAAATATAGGCATAATAAATAAGAAATTCTAAACATTTTCTTTTGAAGCCCAGTTCTTTCTTTTTTGATTTATTTACTTTTATTTTATATGCCTGCAGGTACGTTTGTGTGAGAATGTATCTTGGAGTTACAGAGCTGAGTTGTAGGTGGGTGCTAGGAATTGAACCCGGGTCCTCTAGAAAAGCAGTCAGTGCCCATAACCACTGAGTCATCTCTCCAGCCCGGAATTATAAATATTTTTGCCAAACTATTACTCATTTGGGAAAATGAAACTGGTCCGATGTCCAGGTTGTGGTCCTTGACCGACTGAATATGTGATACCTAGAACACCCAGTACTACTCATCTGTGCTTCTCAGTCCACTGGAAAAGGAAGAAATTACACAGGAAAGAGGTTGTCATGCTGGAAAACACAAAGGCTTTGCTACAGACCTATTATACCTGAATTAGTCCTAACCTCTTTTGAATTTATAACTCAGTAACTAAGATGTGCTACTGGGATTTAAATGCTATGTACTAGTACTTATTTAGTATGCTTACATCAGTGAATTCAATCACAGTATTGAAAAATGTTTAAAGGAAATTAAGTACTTTCTATTCTCTTAAAGAAAATAATACTTGGGGGCTGGAGAGATGGCTCAGAGGTTAAGAGCACTGGCTGTTCTTCCAGAGGTCCTGAGTTCAATTCCCAGCAACCACATGGTGGCTCACAACCATCTGTACTGAGATCTGGCGCCCTCCTCTGGCGTGTGGGCATACATCGAAGCAGAATGTTGTATACATAATAAATAAATAAATCTTTAAAAAAAAAAGAAAAGAAAATAATACTTGACCGAATTGCTAAAAGAATTCATATATAATAAAAATAACTATAAATCAATTAAAATCTAAGCAAAAACAGTTAATCATAGATGCAATCAACATGTATACACTATTCATTATATTCTTAACTTAGTTATGAAATCAAAATGGTAATTAAAAAATCATCTGGTATATAGAAATGATCTGTGACTTACCTAAGAAATATCATTCCCATTCTAGATATTGTGGCTGGTGAAGCACAGCTTAAATCATGAGTTTCAAATACAAAGTTAACATTTGGGCCAAACTGAATCCTTTCTCCACTTGGCATGGTGAGTAGCCGATTATCGTCCAGAACAGAATTCAGAGATTCTATCCACTCAGGGTCAATGTCACCATCACAAATTATCCACGAGCTGACTTCTATTTCCAAGTCACAAGAATGAAGACTTTAAAAATACACACACACACACACACACACACACAAACACACACACACTGCTGTGTACTGCACACACAGATATGCCAACAGCTACATAAAACACTTTTATGTAACTTTCATTACTCACGACTAATTTCCATCTTAATATAAAGAGCAGAGTTGAGCAAGCTGCAGTGTCATGGAAACAACGCTACATGTGTGCTAGAATTACATGTGGGTAATCTCATCTCCACTGCCCAAAGCTCACCTACAACCCCTAAGATACTATTTTGGTCTCTAGCCATACAGATTGAATTCACAATATTCCTTTAAACATAGTGAGTAATGTGGATATTCCTATTCCAAAAAGATACCTCTAAAATAATCTCCCAAACTATATGTTTGGTCAAATCAGTAGAATATATGAATGTTTGCTACATAATGTCTCTTTGAGAAATACAGGAAACTTAACTTTCATGAGAAAACCCTGACTACTGCCATGTTTTCAGTGTTTTCAAGGACGACCCAAGGCGGGAAGCGCATCAGCCAGGCCGCACACACAGTGCCTGCAGTCTTTGTAAGAGCAGACACATTGTACCCATCCTTTCTAAAGTCAGAGTGCTTCAAACTCTCCTGGGACCTTTGAACAATGAAGGAAATGTCATCAACAGTGTGAGAAAGGGTGGTATGTGTCTTAATTTAAAGTAGTATTACAAGAAAAATGAAGAAACTGCATTGGAAAGCCCTCCACTGGCATCAAGTTCTGAATAATTTACCAACTGCCTTTCTTGAAAAACTACTAATTAAGGCTTGGCAAAAGTAGTCTATGGAGATTCGGGTCAAAAATTGTCTTTAAAGTCATGTCAAATCAAGCCAAGAGGCACAAGCCAGTACTCTGGAGGCAAAGGCAAACAGACTTCATGAATTCTAGGCCAGTCTGGATTACAGAGCGAGTTCCAGGCCAAGGCTACAATAGTGAGATTCTGTCACAAAAATAAAAAATGAAAATGAAAAACAAAACAAACAACTAAGCTGAGAAAATTTAGACCAAGAAGTAACTAAACTTTTTTACCATTTCAAATTGCAAAATAGCTCAGAATGATTCATTCACACTAACAACTTAGTGATGTTCAAATGCATTAATTACACTAACAAGGCATATGTCAACTAATTCATCAAAGATTTTATATGCATTTAGCAAATTAGTTATGAATTATATTTTAATAAGTTACTCTGAATTTTGATAATATTAAAAGTTGCTATCAAGTAATAAGTCAAAAGACAGCATGACCCAAGTATGGTTGGTGGCGGGCACCTGTAATCCTAGCATTTGTAAGGCTAAACTATCAGGAGGACCATGGGTTCCTGACCAGCCTGGGCTACGGAGTGAGACTCTATCTCAACAAAACAACAATAAAAAAAGAGTACAGCTGCTAAAATATCAAAAGAACATCATTACAAAGTGTGTTAAATCACACATATGTCTTAATAAGAACATTATAAACATATTACATTATTCTCTAGGTGTTATTAGGCAAAGAATTAGACAGTGACCAACCTTGAGGCTCACGAACTACTTGGCGAGCACTATTTGTCAAAACACCATCCGACCACTCTCTTGTGTCCATGTCAATATGTCCTAGTAACTGGTGTCTGGGCATAGCTTTGGGATTCATAGTGTACTGTTTTACTACTTTGCCAGTTTTACAAAGTGCAGCCCTTAACATTCTCCAAAGGGTAGACTTGCCAGCACCACTTGGGCCAACAATAACAACTCCTGTCCTCTGGCGCAGCTGTTCATACAACTCCAGAGCCTTCTTCATCTGAGGAAAGAAACGGGTTCACGTGTAATCCATGTTCAGTCACACTCAGCTCAACTGTCACTCCGCAAACACGTTTCTACTGTAAATGTAAATTAAGTCTGACTTCTCCACTGGAAATGAAAACCTCAAGTAGACCACTAGCTAAATAAATTGGAACACATTTCCAATGTGATCTTTAAGTTCAACATCTGTCTTTTAAAGAGGTTGCTTGGCATGAAGTTGAAAACATACACCTTTTATTTTGTTTAGTCATTTATTCATTCAAATACACGATTTCCCTCAGTTACAATTCATATTCTACTCAACAAAAATTGAAGGGAAATGTTCATTTTAATAACAATTTGTGACACATAAAGAAGCTCTGTTAGGGGCTGGAGAAATGGCTCAGTGGTTAAGAGCACTGGCTACTCTTCCAGAGGTACTGAGTTCAACTACCAGCAACCACATGATGGCTCACAACCATCTGTAATGAGATCTGGTGCTCTCTTTTGGCGTGCGGTCATACATGGAGGCAGAATGTTGTGAACATAATAAATAAATAAATAAATCTTTAAAAAAAGAAGCTCTGTTAGAAGAATTCCTACGAATAAATTATCAAAGTGCAACTAAATCATATGTAATCAATAAGCAAAAGTTCATATGACCCTTCTATCCATCTATCACCTACAACTTGCTGGGATGGGCAGGAACCAGGAATAAAACTTTGAGCAAAAACATACATAGATGCTGTCTTTCCTGAAGATTCCCATCTGGTGGAGAGGTAATACATCCTTAACATTAAACATGCATCGAGGACAGAAGCAATGACAAACAGAGCAAGGGTCCCTAATCAGAACGTGAAGACCTAAGAAGCATCCTGGAGTGAGATTAAAGTTGAAAGACAAAAAATAACTGAAAGATGGCTGATAATGACTGTAAATCAGAATAAACTAGGAAAGGGCAATAATCTATGACAAATATCCCTGATGTTACCTGATTGGGTATGACTTCATAATTGGCCTCCTCGAAGACTTGCTTTAACGCAGCACTCAGTTCGCTGTATTCCACTTCTTTAAAGTCAATTCCAGGGAAGACATCCTTGATCAGCGCATCAAACCGGGTGCAATCAGCAAATGTGAATTTTGACATTGTATTAAGCCTCAATGCTTGTACCACAATATGATTTTCATTAACTACAGAAAAAATTTTATTTTAAAATTACTTTTATTATCAATTCAATGGTGATAAAACATTTTAAATAAGATAGAGCCTTGATATCATTACTAATTATTAAACAGCATGTTAGGCACATTTAAAAACAGTAAATCATAACTACTATACTTCCTTTTCTATGTTTTAACTGCCGAGAAATAGATTCTGATATACTGGGATTTGAATTATATCAGACATTCATACTAAAAACCATAATTTTCATGTACATGATTTCCATTTGGATAATACTTTCCCTTTTTTTGTAATAGGATCCTCTTATGGTCAAGTAGTTTAAAAATAATTACTATTTTTTTTTTAGTTTTACATACAAGAGTATTAAGTTTCTAAGACAATGACGTGAAAATAAATACTACAATTAGCATTCCACTTTAGCTAGCAGTTCTCAACCTATAGGTCACAACTCCTTTGTGGTGGTCAAACAACCCTATAACAGGGGTTAGTTAAGACCATCAGAAAACACAGATATTTATATTACAATTTATAATAGTAGCAAAATTACAGTTATGAAGTGGTAACAAAAAAATTTTTTATGGTTGAGGCTCACCACAACATGAGGAATTATATTAAAGGGCCACAGTATTAAGAAGGTTGAGAACCACTGCTCTAAGCAGTAATCTTTAATTAATCTTTAGCTAACTGGCTCAAAAAAACATTTTTTAGCTAAGTGCAAATGCTCACATTATTAGCAGATTCTTAGTTTTAAGGCTATTCTAGGCTAAGCAATAAAACACAGGAAGGCAAAGATACTGTATTGTGTTTCCTGGCATCTCCCCACCCGGGTTGGCTATCAGTAGTTGACAGGAAGAAGAGTGGCAGCCCCTGAGTTTATTTCAAGCGCTGAACTCATAGTCACTTGTATTTACTACATATGAATTTTGAATATTTCTTCAAAACCATCAAAAATAGAAGCTATTTAAGATCTTCACAAAACAACTGTCTACCTTTAATAAGTCAATCTAGTGACAGAGCTCAAGTAACTGCTTTTTTGAAGACATGAACCTTCAGCACAAACAAGTAATTTTATATTATCCTTTTCCTATGCTCATACTGGAAGTCTTTCTTCAAGCTGAAGTTTTTCATCTAGTACTTTCTGTGGAGCTGGATCAGGACAGAAATTGCTTAAATTCGTTTTTATTGTAAAATACTTTTCTTTCTCCTTCAACTATGATTGATAGTTTTGTAACTTAATTTTTAATAGCAACCTGGAAAACATGAAAACTCAGCCTCTCTGGAAGGCAAATATCCATGGACACACGGTCATTCATTCTGCACGGATGGAGAAGAGCAAGAGCTTTCCATGAGCCAAGTGTGGTCTGAGTTCGTGCTGATGTTCAGAGCTCAGCTATCCAGGAACAGGGAAGGAAAAAACCTTTAAAGAAGCCGCAGTGGTGCAGCCACTGCCCAGGGTTGAGAGGCAGAGATTAATCTCCGCACCTCACTTTGACAAGATTTACAGCCAAAAAGCAGAGAACAGGGGAAAATATCAATTTTACAGTATAGAAGGCTAGCCGGCGTCACCTTCACCAAGGGAAGAAAGCCAGCATCCCACACCACGCACCTCACGACAGTACATGACAAACAGCACTGCTTCTTCCTCCTTCTTCCCACTCAGAGCCTCATCCAATCGCATATACTCCTTTGTCTATTGGCCAGAAAAACACCGTGATGTGTTTCCAACATCTCTGCTAAAAGAGGCTCATGCTCCACAACACTGAACCCTCCTAGAAACTTTGAGGGTGGTTTTTTACAGTCTGGGGATGAACAAGCCACTCGGAGATGCTTTCTTTGACGCTGGGGTTGGGTTTGCTTTATTTTGATGCAGGATCTCATCATGTTTCCCAGGCTGACCTAGAACTGAGTCTTCCTGCCTGAGCTTCCTCAATTCTGAGACTATAGCATATGTCAGAGCCTCTGATTCTATGAACATCAATTTTGAAAGCAAGGGTATTTGATTATTCTTTTACACATTACTACTACTTTATATAAATCAACCCCTGAATTTTCTTGTAGGACATTAGGTTAAAATTCGAAAAAAATCAGAATAATTTATAAACTTTAAGTTAAAAAGAATACAGCTAAATTGCTCAATTAATTGATATAAGTACATCACACTACTGTAAGATGTTAAAAAATAGAGAAATCTAGGCAAGGTTTACAAAAATTTTCAACATGGTATCTGCAACCTTTCTGTAACATAAACTACTCTAAATCAAAGCATATTTTTAAAGTTCAGTACTTTAACTAGATAATCATACCATCTTGTTTTGTGCCATTTTTCTTCAGCTGTTTCAGAAGATTCCCACTCCCTCTGAGAACGGTCTTCAGAGCTCTCAAGCCCCAATCATAATGCTGCTGCGGTGTCAGAAGTTCCCTGAAGCAAAGATGGCCAAAAGGTTAACTCTGCAAGAAATTACTTTTAGCACCACTCCAAAGAAATGTAAACTGAGCTGTAGTAATTAATACTAGAATTTCATTAATTGACACAAGAAAATCAATCACACAAAATAATCACTCCAGGAAGCAGATGGAGGGAGAATCACAAGGAACAAGGTAAACCTGTCATGAAGAGTCAAGGGCAAGCAGCTATTCCTGTCCTCACAAAAGCTTCCATTGCCCAGCCTACTCCCCCTCCTTACAACCCTGGTTCTCTATGATCCACTAAATGATATGCACTAGAATTCTGGGTTGTCTAGGAGAATAAAAATTAACCTCTACTTCTAGAAATAAAACATGGAAACATCCTCTAGAGAGCGGCAGCTTCTGAGTGGTCAGCTGGGAAACTGGGGAAATAAGAACCATCTAGGCAGAGTCCACATAAACATTGTGAAGAGAAACCTCAAGTTAGTGACAATTAGGAAAAAAAACTGTCAGGTGTGGTGGCGCACACCTGCAATCCCAGCACTAGGGAGGCAGAGGCAGGCGGATCTCTGTGAGTTTGAGAGCAGTCTGGTCTACAGAGTTCCAGGACAGCCAGTGCTACACTCAGAAACCCTGTCTCCGAAATAAATAAATACATAATTTAGAAAATAACTGTTTTAATGAAGATGTCTTCTTATGACTTGGAATAAAATATATCATATCTATATGACCAACAAACTCAACATATAAACTAGAAAAATATGAAAATACAAACCAATCACTGGAAACACAAAATGTGAACATTAAATGAAAAAACCCACCTAGATAGGTTGAAAATAGCAACCAATTTTCTGCCCAACTCTTTAGCATCTTTGAAGCCCTCTGAATAGAGAATCACTTCTGCAATAAGATCATTGTCTGGACGTGACATCGCCACTGGCCTGAAAAGCTGCTTAAGATTGTCAGGAAGCTTTTGTCTTCCTCCATAACCTTTTCCAGCAGGATTCATAGTGATAAAAATTCCAGAGTTAGAATTTATTTCTACCTGAAATATTAATTAGAATATAGGCATTAAAGATTTTAAAGAGAGAAATTTTATCATAATACAATTTCTATGCATAAATTCCATATCTTCGCAAAAGTAACCTCCAATATACTAAACACATCCTTACGTAATACATAATGAGCAGCTCATGAACTCACTACATTATAGTGGATTTACTTCATAATACGTTTTCAAAGAACATAAGTTTAAGAGTGGATAACTGACTTCAATGGCTATTTACTCACAGTATGTCTTTGGAACTCATGTCAAAAAGTGATTAGAATATAGCTTTCAGAATTAGACAACCTTTGATTCAAATCAAAGATCGCTACACTTGTTATCAAATCTTGGTTTCTTCATCCATAAAGTAGAGTATTTGCATTCGAGGGCTGTACTGAGTATTACAATGAGATAATACATTAAAGTACTATATACACTGTGTTCAGAAACCTGAGAGCCATTTTAAAGATAAAAACTAGAAACACGGTCACAGAGTAGAGGCAGCAATGCCCACAGACCAGCACAGGAGGGATGCCAAGTCACAGCAGGTGTCCCTTACCTCTTTGCCAAGCAGCTCACAGACAGTTCTGTGGTTCTTCAGAGCATCCTGAATGGTCTGGATCTGCATGGAAACAGCTGACAGTACAGCTTCTTCCAATCTGTTGAACTCATCAAAGCAACCCCAGGCCCCACACTTCACCAAACCAACAAATATTCGCCCCATTGACTTCACATCAATGCCCTGAAAAGATAAAAATATTTTTCATTTTAAAATGATGAAATTCTCTAGTGCTAGTAATAAGTTGATATTTTGTGCAGATAAACAGATTAACTAATAATTTTATCCATCAACATCTCCTTTCTTTTAAAACAAAATTAAGGCAAGAAAAGTGGTGCATGCCTGTAACCCTAGCTCTTGGAGAAAGGGACAGAGTAACAGTGAGTGCTAGTCCAACCTGGGCACATAGATCCTATGTCAAAGAAAGTCTAACCTGGGCTACATAGAGAGATCCTATGTCAAAGAAAGTCTAGAGGTGGGAGAAGATTACAAAACTACTCCTTCAACTTCAGAGCAGTTTCAAGGACAATGTTCTCTAAAGAATATAAAGCTAAACAAAGACAAGAATTCATTTCAGTCTTTTTTGTTTTTGTTTTTGTTTTTCAAGACAGGGTTTCTCTGTGTAACCCTGGCTATCCTAGAACTTGTTTTGTAGACCGGCCTCAAACTCTAAGATCTGCCTGCCTCGGCCTCCCAGGTCTGGGATTAAAGGTGTACAGTACCAACACTAGGCACATTTCAATCATTTTTAAGTCAAAGTAAACCACCACACGCACACACACACAATGTTGTGAAAACACTAAGATGTATTTAGTGGTTTTTTGTTTTGTTTTTCTAATTGAGAATTATCCTTTCTAAACAATATTTTTCTCCAGTGTAGTACAAACTTTGGAGGTTTATGTTGGGGTGCCAGACTCCTTAAACCTCTCAGGATTCAGAAGAACCGCTATCGCAGGTGAAAACTGGCTAAACTGAAAGCAAATGAAATAAATTAGCTCACATGATTCTTTTCATTATGTCCCATTTATTCTTCCTGCTCTCTCGATGTTCCTCACTGTTCTCTCATCCCACAAGGCTTTTAGTTTACACAGAGACATAATTAACAATTCTCTGGTAACTAAAAATCATACCAAGCATGCATTTCTTAGGGCTAACAAGATGTCTTACTACTGTCTGGGGTGTGAGGCGGGGCTGTGACTCTCTCCTGTAGATACCAGGATTAGTTAAGGATGGGCCTAGAAATCAGTTTAGAATCTAAGAAGAGAAAAGGGGAATTTGTGCATCAACTACATCTGTGTGGATAGTTAAAAAACACTACAGTGTTGTGCACTCTGAGCACTTCCACAGCAGTTGGGAACACAGCCTTTGTGGTAACCATGGCAACCAGCATAGTCTATGGAAGGAAAACAGATGGTATTTGTGCCTCACCCAACCAGGGCCAACAGTGCTGTGAGAATGCTGTATCCTCTGGCACCCAGGTGAGAAGGAATTCCTTTTTCTGGGGCTGGTTAGGCGACCCAAGCTTCTCTTCCTGTACTTCTATAAGTAAGGGCACAAACAGCTAATTTTCTAAACTAAGATCTTGTTTCAGTGAAACCAAGGTGGAGGTAAATACAGAATAGTAATTAATAACTTGTTAGAGTAGAGCAAAGGTCAGCAGATTATGCTTTCCTGAGTCTGCTGCTGGAGAGTTCAGGGTCGCCCAGACCTGTTTATCAACAAGGGCAACCATGCTGTCTTTTCCACTCAGTGCCTGGCTTTTGAGGTTCTTATGTGGTTATTTGCAAAACTCTTTTTCTTGTCCAATGTCCTGTCATAAAGGGCAATTGGGGGGAGGGGCTAGTTTTATGTGGATTTGACTATAAGAACAAAGGTTTCTTTGAGTGAATATTTTCACACCAGAGCCCCACAGTGTGGGGAGGGTCATCTAGCTATTGCTCAATGATTTATGTACCACTGAGGTATTTTGGGATGAATCCCACTATGAAAAAGAGGAAGACTATGGCTTCACAAGATTTTTACAGAATTGACAGGACTATTCAAAAGATAGTGTTCACAAAGCTCTGCAAATCAAGGCTCTCCACCAGAATATACTCCTGTGGGAATATCTAGCTCATGTGGAATTCTCCTCTGTATGCTGTGATTACCACTAATGAATAAAGAAAACTGTCTTAGGTCTGTGATAGGGTAGAGCAGAGCTAGGTGAGGAAAGCTAAACTGAATGCTGGGAAGAAGAAGGTGGAGTCAGAGAGAAGCCATGGAGCCACCGCCAGAGGCAGACATAGTGGAACCTTGCTGGTAGGCCACAAGCCTCATGGTAAAATATACAACAATGGAGATGGGTTAAAAAGAAACTAGAGCTAATGGGCCAAGCAGTGATTTAATTAATATTTCAGGTCTGAGCTAACGAGCAGCCAAGCGGTCTCCCTGCAACAGTCAGCTGTACTTTTACTGTATAATGCTTGTGGTCCCCAACAACAAACATTCATTACACATTTTAAAATGTTTCTTCACAGTAAAGTTTTCCTTAGTAAAGTTTGAGAAATGTACTATGTACAATCTTGCAACACTTTGTCAATTCAAGCCAAATTTTTTGTTTAATTGATTTAAAACTAGGATGATTTTAAATTGAATGTGGTAATGTATGCTTATAAAGCTGACAATTGAAATAATGGAACTACATAGGCCCAGGAGTTTGTGGTCTTCATAGACAATAAAGCAAGACATCACCATTAGTCAGTGATTTGAAAACAAAATCTTCCATATGAATCCACAAGAAAAATAATCCAAACATTTAGCAGTATGTTTTCACACTTATTGTTTGTACCTCGTCACAATTAAAAACTAAAACTTGTCTCCCAAGAAGTCCGCCTAGCGCCTTCACTGACTCAGTTTTCCCAGTTCCAGCAGGTCCATAGGGATTCCCTCCAAGTCCCATCTTCATGGCTTGAGTCAGAGTTAGGTAGCATTTGTCTGTCAATGGCGTATAAACCAGCTTGGGAGCGTTACCCTGCATAAGGGAAGCATGGTGTTAGCCCACTCATGTTTTACTCCATCCAAGGTAAAAAGCCTCATTTGCAACAAACAGGTTTAACTGTTTAACACAGAAGACATTCAAAACTTTTCTTAGTTAAATAAATGCAGAAGGCAGAACCTGGAATAAAACAAGTATTACGTCTCATTGTGGCCTGAAAGACTTGACCACAGTCAAGTTTCCAAATAGTCTCTTTCATTCTTAATGAGGGCATAAAGACAATGCTAAGGACAAACATCCAAATATGTATTATGCAGCTAACATGGCACTTCATACTTGTTAACTCACTAGCTTACTTTCTGGGGCCCCAAAGTAAAAATAATCTTTAAAATAATAATGATTAATTTAGAAAGTGATTCTCAAGTTTTCTATGCTATAGGAAGAAGACACTCAGGCGCCTCCAGTCACTTGTAGGACTTGTCACCTTTTCCTTGCAGAAGGCTAACTAGCTGCTTGCTGCCCAACACGATTACGCCAATGACTGCGTCATTTAGATAGAAAACAGGAGAAAGGATACAACTGGGTTTTTTAGAACAAATTATATGCATTAGATCATTTATCTGAAAAAGTCTTTTCCTTGTAAACTGACACCCTATCCCATTTACAGTCCCAGCACTGACAAGACACACAAGCTCCGCTGCTTTACTGGCGCTGTCTATACAACTCTCCTGAGTTAAAGATAATCTCAGCTTCAACATGAGTGCTCCTCCTGGGAAAGAATCATCTCAGAGAATTTGATAACAAAGGCAATGTGAAAATTTTTGAAAGTAGAATAATGTTTTACTTTTTCTTTTACAGAACCTTGCAAATTATGAAACAAAAGACAGTCAAAAAATACTGAAATAGAAGTAATTATGTCATCCAATAGCAATCACCTTTAAATAGTTTCTGCTCCCTGCCCTCCCTGCCCCCGAAAATCAAATGCTTCTACCAAGAGTCTTACCTGGTACTCGTATGTATACTGAAGTTCAGAATCCACCATTTGAACATAACATGTATGGTCACTTTTCATATAGAATCTAACTTGTTTCTTCCAAGCCCAGTCATCAGTTGTATGAACTTGAACTTGGTTTAATTGCTTCACAATATCAATATTATGAATAATATCAAGAATTAGTGCTTTAAGCTTAAGCTCCAGAATGCCTGATTCTACACATAAAAAAAAAAGACACAATGTTAGTGAGAGTTGCATCCTATGCACACATATGCTATGTCAAAGACTCTAAATGGTGATTTCAAGATCCACTGCAATACTGTAATAATATGAGTCATATAAAACCGACAGTCAACAAGAAATAGCAAAACTGCAAAAGGCATAAAATTCAGTAAAACGGAGGAACCCAAGAAAGGAAGCACACCCCGTCCTCTTCCCCTTTAAATAAAAGCAAAAACCCTGCATTCAGTGGTCTCATGGCTCAAAACTAAAGAGCAGGTAAACTGGGGGTGAGAGCCAGAGTCACAACTGCTGAAATGCCCACAGGAAAGTGACCGTCTCTTGTTGTTGCTCCTTTTCTATCCTGAGTCCCAGGCCATACAATCAGAAGCTGAGCCTGGGACAAAACAGAGCTCTCACAGGCCTCTAGCTAAAGTCTGAGAGGCAGGAAATGTCTCAGGACACCCTAAAACACTGACATGAAGGACTCAGAAAGACCTAAAGCTCCAAAAGAAGGTATCAGCCCCCAAAATTCGAGGAGAAATCCTTGAGAAAAGGATTTATTTTCTCAAAAAGAAAATCCAAGAGAAAAAGGCGAACCCCACTAGTTCACTGTCCTCTGTTCTCCCATGAGTAGCACAGCCAACAGATGCATTCAGAACACACAAGAGCACAAACAAACAGAAATGCAACTTCCAGGCCACAGAACCCAAAGGAGCGCAGAGAATGCCTCGTATACAACAGAGGATGAGGGGAGGACTCAGATTTGCTCATAAACTCCACGCTGCCAAGAGGCGATACAGTTCAGGAACTGCCACTGGCTGTCACACACATACCACACATGGGCTGGAGTCAAACAGCAGAGTCTGGAGAGACACCGGCACTGCAGGACACAGCCCAAGCCTTGTGACTCGTGTCACTCAATCAAAAATGTCCACTTGCACCTGAGTCAAGCAAGATGCAAACACTCATAACAGAGACGACCAGGACACACTTCACAACTATTTAACACTTACAGAGGCCAACCATTTGAGTCTACATAGAAACAGACAACTGCCTGGCACCAATGCCACAATACAGCAATCAGAAACAGCTACGCAAGACTTTAACCACAGTTTAAACAGTGCCCCACCAAGCTGGAGGTGAGGACGCACTGTATGATCCGGCACTCAGCGGGCTCATCTGCTTACATGAGACCTTGCCTCAAACAACAACACACTCCAAAAGATAACCGGCACTTCAGAAATGAATGGGAACAATGTCAACAAAGAAAACAACACATGAAGAAATAGATAGAAATTTCATAGATGAAAACTATAAACCAGATTTTTTTTCTAACTGCAATTTAAATGTATATAATACTTTTATTAAATCTTTGAGAATTTATTATAATGTTTTGATTATATCTATCCCCGCTACTCCTGCAGCTCCTTCCAATTCACTCTCCCTCTCTCCAACCCCATCTCCCAACACATTCCTCTTCTTTTAAAAATATTCGTGTTAACATATGTAATAAATATATATAAGAACACTGTTTATAGACAGTTGCACATCACTCATCAGAAAACACGAAGTGAAACTACAGTGAAATGATGGTATTTCGGGATGCTGGAAGGAATGAAGTGCTAACCCATAACAACCAATGAGATACCCCTCATAAACAGAGGAAGAGGGATTCTGAGGAGGATGCACACGAACAGCCGGCAAGCCTACTCTAAGTCAACAGTTAACAGCACCAGAGATGGGAAAATAGCACCAGAAGGAAGCCTGGAGCACGCATTGAGCTATATCTTTTGAGTCCATTCGTTTTTTCCTCTCAACTCTTTAAACTGCATCTTAGAGTTAAAATCAAAAACTATAATCTCATGGAGTGTCAGTGTATATAAAAGTAACCTGAGAGAAGGATAAAGAAACTTACAGGCAAAGCTTCGACTTTCCACCTCAAGTAGTACATACTGATTTTGATTATGAGATAAAAAGTATAAGCCAGACACTGTGGCACACCTTTAATCCCGGCACTTGAGAGGCCGAAGCAAGCAGATATCTGAGTTTGAGGACAGACTGGTCTATAGAGCAATTCCCAGAAGCCAAGGCTGTATAGAGAAACCCTATCTCAAAAGAGCAAGAAAGGGAGAGAGAAAGACAGAGAAAAAGGAAAGGAAAGGAAAGGAAAGGGGAGGGGAGGGGAGGGGAGGGGAGGGGAGGAAAAAGGGAAGGGAACCTTAAGTATACCGTAAGTCACTGGAGGACAGATTGGTGAGTATAAAGCACTCAAGACAGACACCAACAAAAAGTTCAGTCTCCATACCTGAGTTCCCTGGGTCCCCGGAACTTGTATCAACACTGGTATAGTGCTCTAGTTTAGCTACCAGTTGTGTTTCAATCTGGTGGAGGCTGTGGTCTTTAATGGCATTTTCTACATCTTCAGTAAACTTGATCTGCTCTGCCAAGCACAGTATCTGTTGCAGAACAAGAAAAATTACTCTTCATGTGTATAAAGTTCCGCTATTGCATCTTTGTCCTATATTACACATACCAATATTACTAAACAAAACACAAGATTATTAAGTCAACATGAGGTGGCTATCATCTTCCATCTTCATATTATAATATAAAGAATGATAGAAATAGTATAATACATACACACACACACACACACACACACACACACATATATCCCAGCTAAAATTTACCCAAGGAAAAAGTTTTCCACATAAAATGGTATCCTGGTTTCACTGAAATTTTACCTAAGTTCAGGCAGTTCAGGACTTAAAAGCGAGCTAGGTCATTTTGTATTCCGGGCTTCCATGTGATTTCTAGTGCACACGTATTACCAGTATTGGCCCTTATAACACATACATCCTCGTTTTTCTTTAAACTATTACTAAAAACCTTAAAACTTCCTAGTTTTCAAATTCTACCTCAGCACCAGTTCCAGAATTCTGAAAAATGAAGACAAAGACTAGATTTGAACAATATTAAAAGATTTTAGGAAGAATGATTTCAGTTACACATGAAATGGTATCACAGTATCACTGTTTTCACCTTCTCAGGGGAAACCCCTGAGAGTTGTTTGGATTGGGAGGGGCTAGAATCAGATCCTTTACCACAATTCCCATTCTGTTTAATAATAAAAAAAAAAGTCCTGTGCATACCCTTTCATACGTGTGCATCACAGCACGTGTGGAGTTCAGAAGACAGCTCTACAAGTTAGTGCTTCCCCTCCACCCTGTGGACCGCAGGAATCAAACCCAAAACATCAAGCTTGGTGGCAAAATGTTGAATACGTTGTTCTGTGAGAACTTACATATCAATGCTTATCTAAGAGCTAAACCACTAAGGGCCTACACCTGTTAACATTGATCTGGCCAAATCCTAAACAAAGCAGCACACTGAACCCAATCATTATTAGTGTTCCATCACTCCACAGCCAAGAACAAGGAATATAAGGAATTGTATCTAGAATCCAGTGTTACAGGCATGCACTGTTGTTAACGTTGATTTGCAGCCATCTCTATAACCCACCATGAGGCCTGGCTTTGAGGCTCCTAGCCAGTATTCTAGGTCACTGTTACTGGATTTCATCTAAGTTCCTCCCAGTTCCAGCATCTGAGATGACCCCATGAGATGGGACAGCCATGGTACAAACCTCCTTTTCAGTGACCAGGAGGCAGGACATCAGCTTCTGCCCAATTTCCTCCCCCTAAACTTCCCCCAGGGAACTGATGGAGCCTACAAATAGCCTGCTGTTGTTGTACGCTTCATCCTCCCTTCAGGGCTGAGGGAAGATGGCATGGGTTTGTGAAGGAATATATATTGTTGGTAAGTACTAGCCAAAGGATATAAATTCAAGCTATCTGAAGCAGCTGGCCCGTGCCTACCATACCCCAGCAGAGTCCCCTCACCTGGGAAGGGAACAGAGACGGGTCGATGGCACCCTGTGAACTCCTCCCAGCAGTAACACATTCTTTCAACAACTGTTTCAAAGTTTGCTTCATTTCCAAAGCCAAATCATTCAACCATGCCTGATAGTGAACAGAGAAAACAGTAAGTATGTGTCATGAAAAAAATACAGTCTCTGCCTAGCCACACTCCTTCAGCTAAGACGGGATGCGAATTCTTAGAGACCACACTCCGCAGATGCACTATGTGCTGTATCATTATTATTTAAAAAGTTTGAGAAAAACAGTTTTGTTGTTGTTTCTTTTTACTTCGAGACAGTGTTGAGTGTGAACACTCACACTGGGGGTCAGTACTGAGTACCACTGACTGACTGGTCTGATATAAAAACCGATGCCCAAAGGAACCCTGTCAATTCATTATTATGACAAACCTATAAAGTCCTAGGCAAACATCTAGCTGAGTCTCCTGGTGCTCTAGAGATCAGGAAAGTTCAGCCACAGAAGGGGCTCCTCATTAGAAAAATATTAAAGGAGGGATTCATTAGGGTGAACATACTACAGGAGGGGGCATCAGACTGCCTTTTAAGCTGATTTTGCTTCAATGTCCCAATAGTACCTTTATCTGCTCACTTGATTATAGGTAACATGATGAACTGCAAGCTAGCGAACTCGGTGACAGAAGCATGCCTCGCATGCACAAAGCCCACTACATTACACACACACACAGCTAAATAACGATAGCTATGAAAAATAACACTACCAATCACTACTTAATAGTTTGCATATACAAAATATATGCATGAGAACTACAGCTATCGCTCTTTGTCCTTTCCTAGGTTTACTCTAAGCTCCAGTTTTTACTCATCTGTAAGCACTTGCCAGTACCGAACACAGTACAAAGCCACCAAAGCTAAAAGCTGAAAACCTGAAGCTTGGTGTTGTAGTTTGCTCAAGAGTGTGAGGCAGGGGGATGACTTGAATCCAACCTGGTGCACATGAGGACCAGGTAAACTAAAGCTTCGTGTATGCAAAACGGGAATCTCTCATTGTAGGCCACAGAGATGTTCTGCTAATCACAAAAGTTCCCGGAACCTCGACTTCCACTGTACTGCCTTACTGATCTAGTCCCTATCTTAGATCCTAAGCTCCTCCCTCCACTCTGCCAACTGAGGGAAAGAAAAACACAAAACTCGTAACCAACAATGTCAGCTACTTGGCAAATGTCAGTGCTTTCAGTCACCTGATTAAAATGCTTGAAATCCAATAGGATGTTGAGGCCTAACCAGGAGTGAGCCTGAAGATTACAAATCAAAGTGATACAACCAACTAGTTTACCCAAATCATCTCATAAAACTCATAAAAAAAATAAAAATAAAAAGCCCTAAGACTTAATAAATGTTTCACAAACTGACTAGTGCGTTTGAAGCCATGTATTCCACTTAACTTTCAGAAGAAGGTCTTTGCAACAAGAGTTAAGCCCCATTTCCTTTGTGTCACAGAGCTGACACAAAGGTTCAGATGCAAGTACTTTTAGTACTTTTTACTCCAGAACTAAAATTCTTTATAGAATTAAATGCTGTATTTCAAAAACTAAATATCCATTCTTTTTAATACCACAACTTTTGGGAGCTCATAAGGCGAAACATTTTGAAGACTCAATTAATAGATAAAAATTTCATATGGCTCACTTCATGAACTAGGGCTGCTCACCTCCACATTATTTGACAGGAGAACTTTGTTTTTAAAAGGCACAACTTCTCCTTCTAGCGACTTCATTGCAGTTATATGTTTGGACTCCTCATCAAAGCACACACTGTTAATGCCTACAACACAAAAGCAACACGTGGGCTCAGGGCGCAGTTGGGCGCACGGCGCTATCCCATCAAGCACAGGACTCTGGATTACACCCCCAGCACCGCACACACAACAACTTAATTGAAAGCAGCAATGTAATGACAAAGAATTAAAGGGTAATGATGCATTGCTATATACACCCACACCCCACATATACTATATACTCAGATACAAGAGGATTATAATGTATGTGACAAAACATATATAGTAGCAGCCCTTGTTTTAAATGTGTTAATGAAGGAGAGTAAGGAAAAATACTTTCACTGGGTATTCTCATTACTAATTTTAAATATTGTATTAACATCTAACCATAACAACATTTACTGATGGTATCTTGTATGTATGTTTAACCATTAAATTTCATCATTTTCCAGGAAGAACAGGCATTCTAATCAACAAGCACATAGTAATCCATCAGGACATTTAACTCTCATACATTCTTGGCAGTGGACTATAACATCACAATCTCTTTGGACTATGACAAGAAAGTTTCACACAAAGCCTAAATAAACATTTACCTTAACTAAATGTTTAGATACTTTTTAAAATATATATATTAAAAAATATATGAAAGTTCGCAATAGTTTTATTTATCTTAACCCAAAACTGAAATAATCCAAAAGTGCAAACAGTAAATAGATAAATTCATTATCAGGAAATAGCTTTAGTTATGTCAGTTAATGGGACATAACCCACAGGTCATGAGGTGACCAGACAAAATAGAAACAACTCCAAAGCCACTGAGAAAGTAGATAAAGACATCACCATGACAGCGGCTAACCTGTGGCATCAGCCCAACTATACTGTGTTCAGCAGCCCTAGGTATGGTATAATCATTACTCTAAACCAAAAATGCTACCTATCAATGAGCACCTAAGGTACACATCACCAACTGTGCAGCAAGGTTCCAGGACCTGAACCTTTTTCTGGCTTTTATCTAATGCATCACCCAGATGAGTATCATCCTAAAGGTTGGGGGGGAGACAGAGAGATGATTTAACTACACAAAGTCCTTGAAATGTCAGAAACTGGTCTGTACAAATGAGATCAGTAACTGTCTGGGCAGTGGAATGGGAAGAACACTGATAACATGAGGGAATTCTCTGGGCTTATGGAAAGGTTGTGTATCTTAAAGTGGTGGTTACACAAGTATAGTGAGTAAAGAGAGAGACATGCCTACAGTTTCAGGTTCACAAGCACTGGAAACTGTATCATAAAAAAGAATGTAGAGTATTTGAGGTTCCATGGGCCAGGTTCTCTATCAATGACAAGTCAGAATTCAGAACACAAAAGCAACTATAACCAATATGGAAAGCTAACATGGATGACTATGTTTCAATAAAACCTTATTTTTTTTTCTTTTTTTTTTTTTTGGTTTGGATTTTATTTATTGATTTTCATTGAGCTAGAGCTCATTTTTCTCTGCTCCCCTCTCTTCCTCTC